CTTTCTCACGGAATGCCGGAGGAATGTAAGGACGGGCGTTACCTGTTGACACATCGCAATATATCGAAAAGCTACAATTCGGTAAGGTAACTTTTTTGAGATGTAGAACTTTTGACTCTTTAAGCAATGTTTGTAATTCTGTGTCGATTTCTTGCATTTTAGCGATTTCCTCATAGTCGATAGGGTTAGGCATGCTTATTGCTTCTATACGCGAAAGTACGTCGGCAGCGATATTCTCCGAACCTTTTATATGGCGAATTTCAGTGGTGAATTGTGAGATAAAGTCTAACTGCCTAGCCGGACGAGGTGAACACTTATCCAAACGCTGTCGGAATGCATACGTGAGCGGTTTGTGATCGGTGATTAAAGAAAAGTTCCGTGCTTCCAACATATGCTTAAAATGCCTAATAGCAGCATAAGCTGCCAATAGCTCTCGATCATACGCACTATAGTTCCTTTCCGCCTGCGAAAGCTTTCGTGAGAAAAATGCGAGAGGCTGTAAATTTCTATCAACTATTTGTGATAGCGTTCCACCGATCGCGAAGTCTGACGCATCAACCTGTGAAACCAACTGGGCATCTTTCTTCGGGTGTGTGCCAAAAGAACAGCATTACCGATTAGCTGTTTGCACTTTTGAAATTCACTCCGCGCTTCCTCAGACAAATTCAGGATTGTCTTATCATTTTTCTTAGCCCCTTTTAAATACGAAGTTAAATGTATTTGATTCTGGGCTACGTTGGGTAAAAATCGACGGTAAAAATTTAAAAATCCTAAAAATCTCTGCAAATCTTTTACCGTTTTAGGAAGTGGGTAGTTAAGTATCGGTTCCACTTTGTTCGTCAGAGGCTTGGTACCATCTTTATTGATTATATGGCCTAAAAAGATATTTCCGGAACGCCGAAAACACATTTCGAAGCGTTAATTGTCAATCCATATGAAGTTAATCTTTCAAAAACAGTACGTAGGTGAGATTTATGCTCATCTTCCGTATGACTAAATATCAAAATATCATCTAAGTAGACGTAGGCGAATTTTAGATCTCCAAGAATTTCGTTCATAAACCTTTGAAAGGTTTGAGCTGCTCCGCACAGTCCGAAATTTAAAAACGGAAATTCGAAAGACCAAATGGGGTGCAAACTGCAGTTTTCGGTATATGATCTGGATGGACTGGTATATGATGATATGCCCGAACGATATCAATTTTTGAAAAAATTGTCTTTCCGCTAAGCGTATTATTAAAGTCTTGTAAATGCGGGATAGGGTATCTGTCGGGTTCGGTGCACGCGTTTAGTTTTCGGTAGTCTCCTACTGGCCGTATGTCGCCCGAACTTTTAGAAACTACATGAAGAGGTGATGACCATGCTGATTTTGATGGTCTACAAATACCTTGATCTATCATAAATTGAAATTCTTTTTTTACTGCTTCGTATAACTTAGGGCTTAACCTACGCGGTTTACTGTGCACAGGAGGACCGTATGTTTCGATGTAATGAACCGTACTATGTTTTACTCTACACGAATCGGATTTTAACTTCAGTACTTTAGGAAAGTCTTTCAAGATTCTGTGATATGGTGAATCACCAGATATTAACTTTACCGAAAAATAATTTTTAGAATCGGAAAGAGAACCAATACGAGAACCAATACGAGTTAATTTCGTAGTATTATCGATAAGCCTACCTCGTTTTAAATCGATTAAAAGATCAAAATGCCTTAAAAAGTCGGCTCCTATTATAGGCACTGGTACATCGGCGATGATTAAAAACTTCCAAGAAAAGTTTCGTCTAAGTCCTAAACTCACAGTTAACAATTTTGTTCCATACGTAGAAATTCTGGAATTATTCGCGGCAAATAATTGAAGCGAATCAGGATGCATTTTCCTAAACTTAGAAGTCGGTGTCACATATGAAACATCCGAGCCCGAATCAATCAAAAAGTTTAAATTTAATCTGTTATCGTAAACATGTAAACGACATGAATGCGCGACTGCCGATGAATTTCGATCGATAGCCGCTACTACTAGTTTTCCTGGGCCGTAGTGTTCTGAGAAAAGGAACAAGGTGCTCGACATTTTCGTGCATTACTACCGAATCGCGAATGAAAATAACAATAATTGTTCACACACGCTCTCGGGAATGCCCACGCGAAAAACTACGTGCTTTGTTATGTTGATCCCGGGGGAAATTATTCCTCGTGTTTCCGCGGGAGAGTCGCTCGACTTGTTTACTTAGGGCAGAGATTTCACTCCTTAAGGCCTTAAGCTCCTCGAGGGGGGCACCAGAATCGTTAGGGTTTCTGGGGGAACTGGCCGAAGCTGCCTGGACCGCGAACACGCTGTTGTTCGTTGGCGTGCGCACTTCAGCTATCTTATCAGCCATTTTTGCTAAATTGTCTAAGGATTCCAAACTTATTGATAAAATGGCATGCACCTCGGAAGGTAACCTTTGCAGCCATAATGATTTTAAAAATTCGTCAGTTATACAGTTTCCACCTAATTCTCTCATTTTTCTCAATAAGTGAGATGGTTTGTCGTCCCCTAAATGCAATTCAGAAATAAGTCTGCGTATTTGCTCGCTTTCCGAATCTGAGAATTCTCCTATTAACCTAGCTTTAAGGGCATCATATTTAGCCGTCGCTGGGGGATTAAATAAAATATCTGATACTGCGGAAAGAGTTTCAGGGTCTATCGAAGAAACCACGTGGTTGTATTTTGTACTATCGCTACTAATCTTCGCTAAAGCAAAGTTACTTTCAACTTGAATAAACCAAAGTTTAACATTATTTTTCCATAAAGGGGGAATTTTAACTGCCACGTGTGAGATTTGTGGCTCCTGAACCGCCATATTCGATTCCTCGTTGGTTTGGCCTTCCGATCCTGGCATGGTTGCCAATTATAAATATATCGTAAATCGTAAACTTAATGTTTTGCACTATACCTTATCAAAACAGTATCAATTTAGAATAAAATAACGAAGACATTCAATATCTCAATAAAAGTGTGAGCACAAATATTACTCAAAGATCAATTTTAAACAATCAATAATTAAATTAAAACTATAATTTTAGAGCAAAACATATCACAAAAACATAATTAAGACCAATCACAGATAATTAAAAAAATTTGACCACATACCTGTAAATCCTCCTTAAGTGTGATAAACCACGTGTAATCCGTACGATAAAATGAGGAGGAAATGAATAGGGTGGAGCCTTTATCAGTCATAAGGAAGAGCATTGGCATCAAAATAAGGCATATTTTTAGTTTTTTAACAAAGATTGAGACAGATAGTCATTAGGGATCGAAACAGAAGGAGCGAGGGACAGGGTCACCAATGATGTACGTGTGAGTAACACGTGCATACGAAAATATCCCTAACATTAACTAGGAAAGCCGAAATCTTAGTTAAGATAGACATGTTACAATTAATAATCAAATTTAATAAGGAAAAGTAACAGTTGCCGGGTACATTATAACGGCTTAAGAAATTCAGAGCACAGTACAGATGCGAGTACACAAGTTCACATATCTCGGCGAAACAGAGACGCACACATTTGTTGAAGTAGTTCCCCTTGACTGCCGCGGAAAATTCTTCTCTCCCCGTCAGCCTGTAGGTTTGCCAAACGGGTTTACTGTTTCGCCAATTGGCGCTTTTCTGTACAGTTTTTAAGTTATTTGTTTTAAATTTTTTAAATTAACTCTTATTTGATTAAAAATTTTTTTCACCTTTCAAAACATTTAAACAAATTTTCCAAAATATCTCTACACTTTAAAAAAATTTTATAGTCATTAAAAAAATTCTAAGTCAATTTTTTTAATATTCTGTGCATAAAAAAATGGATGCCTTTTTATAGTTGATTTCAATTTCAAGTATAAAATAGTCTGACAGTAACAAGTCAGGAAAGTAGGAAGGATGCTTCACTTGCTACAATAGCAGCTATTAGCGCTATTTATCTTTTTTTTTTTTTTTTTTTTTTTTTTTTTTCTTTTATTTTTTAAAAAAACTCATCCAAGATCACCAAAATTTTCTGTCTGAAGGTTCAACAAGCCTATTTTTTTACTCTCATCTGTTTTAAAACTGTTGCACAGTAGTCTTTACTGATATTCTGATCTGAAAAAACAAATTCATGGTGCATTAATATCTATGTAGATTAAAGAAAGCAATCAACACAGCCTTGTCTTTAGACTCTGTGAAACAGAATTTGTGCCTTTGTGAACAGGTGGTGATCCCTATTCTGTATCACTTCTATATTCTGAATTACACTGTTAATCCCAGCTTCTGTCACCTGTCATGATATAAGTCTTCCTGTTTTCCCCAAAAAAGATCATTTCTTGCAATTTCAGTCAAGTCCTTCCATCTTTCTACAACTACTTTTGCCCTGATATCCAAAAATGAGGCACAAACCTTGCACAAACTTTTCTACTGTTTAAAACTTTCTTCAGAATTTCAGAAACTGTATCTTTATATAAGGCTGGATCATCTGATCATATAAGGCTGGATCTCCTAAATGTTCTTTAACAGTCTGCAGCTATTAACAGACCTTATCCATCTTTTCCTAATGCTCACAAGCTCGCTGGTTTCTCAGTTAGCTGGGTATCTTCTACACTTTTCTTTTTATCAAGAAGCAACTCAAGAGTACCAGGACAGGACATTGCAGTACAGCAACATACTTTTAAAACATTTCATGTGTTTTAGTCACTGTTTCCGTAAGCTTGAAACAGAACTTTACACATGCTCTTTGTTCTCCTGATTAATGCTTCATTAAAAAAGCAATATACTTATATTATACTTAAGATAAACTAATGAATGAAGATGCACTCTTTTTTGCTTGTTTGTTGTTAGTCGAACAATAAAACATTCACATGCTGGAAACACTAATGTTTTCAGTTTTCTTATTTCTTTGAAGCACACCCAATAATGGAAAGTTTTAGACATATTATGTATAAAACTAGTTGGGCCTTGCAATTACTGGTTTATTAAACTGAAAATACAATAACGTACCTGTACAGGCTTAGCTAGAGAATCATCTATCGTAATGATAATCTTTTTAGCTTCTTCAAGATTTTTTTCTCTTCTTTCAGCATCATTTTGTTCCTTATCAGCTTTTTCTGCATTTTTGTACTGTTCTCTCTGCCATATTTTCTTCACTTTTTTTATTTGTGATTGGGAAACCAACTGCCACTTCTATAAAAAATTTTGTGCATACAAAAAGATCACTTTAATAAAAATATAAGAATATCAACTTTACTATGAACAAAATTTGGTGCTTTCTGATTATCCACACCCCCAATTCATCATTTGATAAAACTGCTCTGTTTTGGCATGTTTTCAATACACATGAAAGAATATTCGCTCATACATGCACAACGCATGTTTTAAAAACCACACAGTTTTATACATTTTATTCACTGAACTGTAAATATATAAATATCAACCATACACACTGAACTGTAAATATATAAATATCAACCATACACAATTTTGTTCTCCGGCCTATAAAATTCCTGTTTTTATTATTATTTACCAGCACAACAGTATTCATCAGCTGTAAAGATACTCAAATATTTTTTGCAACTGAGTTGGTGGTGATTTTTTCCCCCGGGGGGGATGAGGATAATTAGAAAATACCAAAAATTTTAATTATGCAACTACATATAAATTCGATTTTTTATGCCTCATAGCCTAAAATTATAAAACTAATAAGTTAGAAATAGAAAAATACATCCAGTGGAGAATGCAATCAATCACATTTTTCAAAAATAGGATATTAATAATAAATAAGACACAATTAACATTTATGTATATAAATGTGAGTAATACAGTAAGAAATACTACATTTCAAACATGACTGTAATTATTTTAGAGTATTTAAAATATTCAATTAAAATTACATATGACAATTAATAATTACTATTGATTGATTCATAATACATTATTTTTAAAAGGTACACTTTTAAAAACATTCTGAATCGTTTAGTTAAAATAAATAAAACCAAAAATATAAAATGATCCAAATTCTAATATTTATTTTTTCAGATAGTAATATAAATTACCCTTACAAAAAAATAATGAAACTTATAAATAATTCATTATTTTCTGTCACTTAGATTTTAGTTTTGCAGTTAAAAGTTTTAAATTCACAGACATGTCATAAGTTACAGTTCTATACAACAGCATAATAAATTATGAAATCAAAATTTCAGCTAGGACCTTTCAGTATTTTTCAGTGCTAATTCTGAATTACATACTGGAGAAAGAGTATTAGAATTTTTTTTTAAAAAAAAAAGCAAGCTTTTTAAGTACTAAAAAAACAACATTTTTAATAAACACATGCTTCTCTTTTATTCATTAGTATATAGAATTAACTTTTGTCATATAATATAAGAAACATTGCTGTAACTAATATAGTCTCATAAATAATCATGTTCTGCTAAATAGCAAACGAATAATATAATGAACTAAATGATTATTTTTCTCAATTACAGTAACCTTGTTTAATAAGAAATCAAATACGGGTTCGGGAATTAATGAGAATGTACTGATGCAGAGAGAAAACTGGCATAAAGTTGTTAATATAAACTTCGATAATATATTTCAAAACCTAAGTAACAAAGCAAAGTTAATTTTTTTAAGCAGTACTTAAATTACAAAATGCTTAGGTAAATAACAGAACTTACATGCAACAAAATTTTTCTTTGGTTAACACACACTAAACAATTACTTCAATGTGTGTTAACTAAATATTGCTTTATTTTCAATATGCATGTTTCCTTACTCAACAACAAACACTAAAAAGAAAAAACAGTCACAAGATGATATGAGAATATCCAGCAAAAGCAATTCTATATAGACAGCTCAACCTTTCTTGAAGGTACTGTAAATAACCTTCGAAAAAGAAACAAATGAACACTAGAGATTAATATGCATATTAAAAAATCATTAATTTTAGAAAAAGGTTTGAAACCCAGGCTGACTGTAAGTATGTATAGGGTCTGACAAAGTGTAAGACTAATTTTATTAAAATTAACAGAGCCATTGGGGCAATAACAAATATAATTTAAATGGCTAATCTTCTCATACAGTCAAGAAGATGACTGAAGATGGATGTGATGACTATAATGTGAAGATGAAGGCAGACAGTCTGATGTTAATAAAAATATAATTATTATATTTTAAGGTAAAGCTTAAACAAGAAAAAAATTGCTTTCCAATTTCTGCCACATTCTTTTTTGGATGATGAAAAGACTACAGTGTTTAATATGCAAAAGACTATTCAAACTCATTAGAAAAATTAAATTATCATAAAATCAACAGCTGTTAAGGAAAACACATAGTATTTTCCCAGTGATATAACAAATACCAAAATTTTGAATAGAATTCACCATCAGTCTAAAGAGAAAATTTCATGTTCTAAAGTCAGAAGTCAAAACAATATTAGGTGTTTCTCTTAATGCCAGGGAAGACAAAAAATTCAAGAATTCCATTTTCTTGGAACAAAATGCCAATACAAATTCCATTTAAGTATAATGGAATATTATGTCTGAGGAATTATGTGTCCATTAATATAAATGTCTGTGGAAGAGACTTTCCCAAGTCTGCGAGAATTCATCATGACAGTTGGTTCCTTCATAAAAATGCTCTGGTTTAATACGCAGTAGTTCTGTTGGAATTTGTGGCTAAAAATAATTGCGTGATTAACATTTCACTTTACTGCCTGTGATCTGTTTTCCTGTGATAATTTTTTATTCTCAAAGCTGAAATTACCATATAAAAGGCACCTCTCTACCAATGTTAAATGATATCCAAACAGCAGTATCATCTAGTCTTCAGTAATATATAAGAAGACATAAATAATTTGTTCTATGCTTCATTAGAACAAGCCACTCTGTGTATCAATGCAAAAGGGATGTATTTAGATAAAACAATAATTAAGATCCTTGTCTTTTGTTTAATAAATTTAGTCTCAATATTTAATGGTCAAACAATATGAAACCTGAGTAAATTTCAGGTCTTTAAAAGCCACTAATGTGGCAATATATATCTCAAAAATTACAAACTTTAACTTTCTTGAAATTTCCTACAATGAAAAGTTGCTATGGAACTTATGGCAAATAGTCACAATTACAGAATATGGTAGTAATAAAGGGTGTAGTAAAAAAAAAAATTTCCCTGATTAATAAACCCCCCAACAGCCTATCCTCTCGAACAATCGAAACAAAATTTCAGATATCATTATTTGAAGGTACGTTATCAAGATTGCCATGATTTAAAACAACAGAGATCTTACAGTAATGGCTACAGTGAAAAACCTTTGAAAATGTTCGAAAGGCAACACTTACCTTTTTCTGCACGATTTTACCAGCACATTGAAAAACCATAAATGGCATTGAATGATACACCTATGATGAAAATTGACAGTGCAAAATATTTGCAAAGAACCACATTGTAAAGGACCAATGACAATACAAGAGAGGAAAGGGAAAAATTTTTTTGCTGGAATTACAAATTTCAATATGCTCATCATCGCAGATAATAATTCATTGCTCAGTGAGCTAGGGTGGAGCAAGGGGGAACATCTGTCTCTGGGCGTAGCATCCAGAGGGCACCAAATTGATGTTACAAAATTTGAGAATGAAATGCTTCCTATTCTTGGCATACAGAAAGGGGCACAAAATCTACAGTTGTCCCCGGGCGCTGAAAAACCCTAGCTACTCCTCTGGCATTGGTACTCTTACTGTTGACAACAATAACGAAAATAACATCACAAGAAGAATATATAGTACTTTATGTTTTATGGCATCTTTTAATTCTGACAAATTTTACGGATTTAATGTGTACCCCAAAACCAAAAATCCATCAGAGTGAAGTCGGTGTGGGAAGGGAGGGATAGTGGTGGCCACAAAACTGCAAAGTTATGGGGAATGACTATCTCCAAAGCACTGTTACAGCACTTGCTGAACACAAGTGACGCCATGTGAAGGAATACCATCTTGCAAATACAGAACATCATTAATGACATTGCACTGCTGCAATTCTTGAATTACATAATTCTGCAACATTGTTGTACACTGGGCATTTGTGAAGCATGTTTTCATACCTATGGAAGTCACCTATGGAAGCCTTCGTTTTCACTATAAAGCATTTTGATTTAAAACATAAGAGTCATTTAAGTCCATTCACACCTGTTTAGCAGGTTTCAAGCCATAGGCAATCAAAGAAAGAACAGTTGTGCATGTATAACTGACTCAGTGAAGCCATGGTCCAATGTCTGCATTTTTGCTGTGACTGGTGGCTCTTAAACCACCTTGGCACAAAGTAGAAAAATTTAAACCTTTAGGCAAAATCTTTAAATAAATTTTTGTGACATAGCAAGGTCTGATTTCTTAGCAACAGAGTTCAGCTTAAACCTGTTATGATTTCAATACCATGGTGTGAATAAAGCTTTAGAAGTATAGACCGAGAACAAATATGTTTGTGATGCCACATCACACAGTCACTTTAACTTGTAAAGGCATTGGTGTCACATCATAAGGATTTTCATCACACCAGAGAATGCAGTTTTTGGAGTTTACGTTCCCAGTTAAGGAGAAATGCTCCTCATCTGTCTAAAATATCTGCAGCAGCCACCTGCTATCCACATCATATATGATGAGGAAATTAGAAAAGTTGGCATGCTGCCGCTCATCTCCAGCAGCAACATAACATATGGATGCACTAGAGTCAATAAGGAACATTCACAAAACAGAGTGCTGAAGCTTCAGGACTGCGGTTTTCGGTATATCCAAACTGCGGACACCACTTCTTGCAGTATGCAATGGACCAGCAGTGTAATCGTATTATGCACTTCCACAGAAACTTCAATAGGAACACATGGTCATCCAGATTGCAGTGTATCACATGCGAATCCAGTTTCTTTAAATTTTTGTGCCAAATCACATGCAGTTTTTATGGTTCATAGGCCTCATCTTATGATTTTGCCGATAAAATTTCCCCTGTTCTGGTAAAACAGATTTATTAATTCACCTCAATATCTCCCTGTACATGCCATCTTGTTAGCACATTCGAACACCCAGTTGAAGAAACATTCTTCCTCCACTGCTTATTAAAGGCTTTCACGCACACTACTTTGCACATGGTGCTCTGTGATCGGTGTTTCTATAAAGCAAATCAATGCACCTCCCTTCTGAGTTGTCACTGATCCTTTGCAACGCTCTTCTTTGCAAATGTTTTATGACAGCAATTTTCCTCATACGTGTATCATTCAAATATCATTTATGGTTTTCCAATATGCTAATCAATTTGTGCAGGAAGAAAAATTGGATGTTAACATTAAAAAATGTTGAGATTTTTTTCACTGTAACCGTAATCATGACAACTCTATTGTTTTAAATAATCAGAGTGCACACCTTCAAATACCAATATCTGAAATTTCATTTTGATTGGATAGGTTGCTAGGGGTTCATATATTGTGAATTTTTTTAATATCACCTTGTACAATTTTATAAAAAATATAAATTCTTTATTTTTATTACTTTTCCTTGCATACATATTAGAAATACAATTTACAAATCTAACAATGCACATCAAGGCTACAATGATCACTACTGATTTTGGTGACTTTTTCATACGATTTCTTCATTACAACCAACAGATCCTTTATCTAACATGAAACTGCAAATTTAAATCATAAGACCACTATTCTCATTACAGTCATGATTTTATTACATCTACACACCTAGCTGATATTACATAAAAACGTACTTTGACTTTATTTAATACAGAAATAATTACATTACCTCTCCATCCTTGTTTGATTCAATGTAAAATTTAGGAAATGGTTCTTTACCAGCATGTCTCATTGCCTAGATAAAAATAACTAGCATTAAAAAAAAAAAAAAAAAAAAAAAAAAAAAAAACCTAATAATGCAAAGAAACAGACTATTTCTAGTAATTATAAACTAGATAAAAATAATTAACTGAGCAGAACTAAAACAAGTTGCAGAATATATTCTAAAATTAATCTAAAAAGTTAATTTTATAACATATCAAAATATTAACCTGTAAAACTGTTTTAAAAGGTAGTTTGTGAGTTCCATCTCCAGATTCATCAGATCCATTTTCAGATATATATATTTCATCTGTAACAAAAATCACCAATGTTTTATTTATAACAATTATAAATTTTACTTCCATTAAGTTTATAGATAACATTAGAATCACAGACAGCTGAAATTACAAAACACTCCTGGGATCAAGTCAGATTTGTAACTAACTAATAAGGAAAATTTCCATAGCTTTATTTTAATAAAATGTTTGCTATTTTTATTCATTACAAAGTATTTAATATCAGCTTTTGGTATTCAGGTATATTAGTGCAACCACTCTGGTGCAGTATGATGATTTTTTACAGAAGAAAACTTATGATGTCTTAGAATTGAAAAATTTATTACATACATATTTAACATTTTGATTAGATATTTATTTCAAAAATCAGTAAACAAACACACTTATAAGTGAACTTTTGTTTCTTTTGTTCTGGTGGAAAATTCATGATGAATTAATGAATTCAGCACAATTATTCCCTTTAAGTGAATTTTTAGCAAAATACTGTATTTCCAAAAAAATTCTGGAGCATTTTCTTCCACTACAAGCTAATTCCACAGCAAAATAAATCATGATTTGTCTATGTAATTTGTTTGAATGCAACAAAAAAGAATGTTTACAAAAATGGCAACATTGCCTGCTACAACTAAAGAACTGTTATACACATTTGGCCAAAGTTTGACGCATTTTGAAACTCTAGCAACTTATATACAGTGCTTAAAAGTACCCAATTTTTAATTATCTTACATTCCTTTTCCTATCTTGCATACATATATATATATAAATTAATGAATAAATCATACCTATTTTTAAGTCCTTAAGATCATTTTCTACACTCATGTTTATTTCAACCTTGTCTGTCTGATTACCTAAAAAAAAAAAAAAAAAAAAAATGAAGATGAAAAAAAAAAATTGCAGTGTATGGAAAAGTATATTGAAAACAGATAATTGTACAAAAAAAAAAAAAAAAAAAAAAAAAAGGCATGGAATTTTATTCAATAGATATATCACATAATTTTTTCAAATCATTCTAATATTAAAGAAATAGAGTACAAAGTCCGAAATCTGGACTCGTCGGGACTTAAGCGATTCTGCATTTGGGATTTTTCCAGATATTAGATCATCAGTTTAAATCTAGTACGATGGCATAAAGAAATTATAAAATTAAAACTATGAAATCATAATTTATGAAATAATGAAATATTTATGATCTAAACGGTATCAAAATTTACAAAAAAAAGCTTAATATTTATTTGTCTACCTTATTAAACATTTCTTTCAGTGCAAGTTATTTAAGTTGCTTCATTTTCTGTGCTAATACTTCCTTTTTAATTCTGTAGACAGACATAATCTCTTGTTTAGTTACATTGTTGAAGAATTTTGACTAACTTGTCAATCGAAATTTTTTCGTTTTCAGTAACTTCTCTGTCATTTTCTTCACTTTTGGTATTTTCTTCATCTAGAACCATACTACAGATTTTGCCATTCATTAATTGATTGACTGAGAAGCATTATCATCACAATGAAAAACTTTTTTTTATATCATTTTCATTTATAACTGCTTCTATCCATTTCTTTACAAAATGTAATGTTCTTTGTTTTGTGATATCCGAAAACCTTCAAAATTTGTGGCTATCATCATCAAATTTAGCTATCATTCACTATACATATTTGGCTATGCATCATGAGCTTGGAGACTAACAACAAGTTGTTCCGTTAAATTTTATCTTGCTTCTATCGCACACTGAGACAATTCAGCTTGAATTGCGTCGGTTTCGTTATTTATTATACTTATGTCTATTTCTTGCATATGCTTAGGGTTTATCAAAGTTCTGAATAAATAAATTCCCAAATAACGACCGGCGCTAAATATCTTACTGTCTGATGCAGTATCTGTGGGTCCTAAATTCTGCGACCTGGTGCCACCTTATGAGCCCTGGTGCTGGTTCTGGGTTTATGTGAATAGCAAATCAGTTATTCTTAATTCAAATAGCCCTAAATGTAATCTTTGCGTCAACGAGTATCATCAACAAAATCTATTTTTAACATATGGAAAAAAAAATTTTGTAAAGTTTTCCTCGTCAACACTTTAGCACATTTAACTTAAATCTGTAATCATCGCCAAGCATAATGTCAACATAAAAGGTTACCATACCCCTTTGTTATTCAATTACTAACATAAAGAAATTGTTTAGACATCTCTACACGAGACATTACTCAAGTTGTCATGTGTTGATAAACATGTGGTGATGAAAAGAAAGTATAATAAATAATGATTCACCATGTTGGCATCAGATCAACGATGTATCTATGTGGAATGTTTCGGTTTGAGATGTGTGCCAAGCAGATGCGCAACAACGGAGCCAAATTACTGATCGTACAAATTTATGGTAAAATTATTGTTTCTTCAATAACAAGGATTAAGAATCGGGTCTCTCCAGATGTTTTATTATAAGTGGACAGGGGTAGCAAATGCGCATGCGTAAAGATGAGAAAAACACTGGTGGTTTTGAGGTCCGGATTTTAGATCCTTCCGGATAATGGATGTCCAAATTTCGAACTTTGTACTGTAATAACTTTTCAAAAACTTACTTTAAATGAAAATTAAGTGTAAGCTAAATAAGACAAAGTATGGATTATCAGATCAACATAATATAATATACTGGCATGAATATGAGACATGAAAGGATCAGAAAATATTTTAATCTTATTGGCAGAACATTGCATTAGATTTAGATTCTAATTATTCTCAAACATTTCTATAATTAATTCTTTAATTTTTATTCTTAGACTTTTAATTAGTGTAGCTTTCTATACTATTCTAGAACGAAAATTTTTAGGTTATATCCAAATCCGTAAAGGCCCAAACAAAGTAGGCCTAATAGGAATCTTACAATCATTTATTTATTACCATTTAGTGATTTAGTTATTTTTTTAATAAAAAATAAAACTTTTTAAAACTACACCTGGCTTATGTTTGCAACCTAACACTTGGAAAATCACAATAATTTAGCATTTATTCCTTATATTTTACATTTAAAAGAAAATTTATTTAGTCAGAAAAGCATGTGACCTTGGAATCGCCCGCTGCACCCAAACTTTGCATAATTACAGAAGATATAAAAATGAATAAAACTGCAAATCAAGAAACCTGAAGTTCTAAGTAACATATATATTTTGTAAATTTCTATGTTTGCTGCAATGTCTAATGGTGTGATAGAAGCAATGCTAGATAAAAATTAATTAATTACAATCAGCACCAGATTTGTAATCCAGTGTTGACAATGGTAATTTTTTTTTTTTTTTTTTTTTTTAACCGATAGATATAATGAAGGAGCTTTTAGGTTCTCATCCAATTTCTTGCACGGCTTATCAAAATTAATAACTAGACAGAAATAAAAATTTACTGTTAATTATTGAAAAATGATTAAAAAACAATTTGTACAAAAGTATTATTTACCATAAATTATCAGCTTTCCATTTGATTCATGTCAAGATACTGAAATTAGAACCAAGTTTATGGAAATTTTAAAATGATGAAAAACTATATCTATTATTTTGCAACAATCTTCTCATAATATGATGTATGGCCATTTACATCCGATAGAAACGCAAATCTCACATCTTTATTTCATTAAATTTATCATACTATTCATTTAGTCTCGTAGAATTTCATGCCACTCTTTTGAAACATCACTTTATTCACATTTGAAACATCAGTTTCTGTAGGATCCGGAGTAACTTTCTGTGGCCTAATGCATCCCACACATGCTTAATTGGATTCGAAATCTAGTAAATAAACTAGCCAATTTACTTGGGTGATAAAATCTGTTTTCAAGTATTCTGACACCAGAGATGTTCTATAAGACCTTGTTTGCATAGTCTGGAGTAATTACAGAATCTTCATCAAGGACATTAAGCTCAATGTAATAATTTTTTAACTATTTCATCCCAAACTACATACCCACTTCCATGGAAATGATATTTTTCACTAACACAGAAAGCATTTTGCATATTCCTTGCTCCCTCCAGATCAAACCATAGCTAGAATTACAATTCAGTCTATATCTGGAATCATCAGTAAAACGTACATGTTCCTAATTGTTTTGTCCCCACTCAATACGATGACACCAATTTCAAAGGGACCTTTTGGAAGATAAAATGAGAAGGAGACAAACCATTGCTTTTCTCAGAAAATGTTTATGAAGCCTTTGCATAGCAGCAGATTCAAGTTCCAGTGGTAGCCAGTAGGTAGGTAGGTATGTAAGTGATGGAGGGAAATATCTGGTGGCTACTAGTGATAAATAAGTATTTGTTGCTTATTCTCCATTATCCAGAGATGCATTCTGTAGAGGCGACAAAGACACTGTGAGTTGAATGAGAAATTACAGTTACATTATACACGGGCTGCAAATTACAGTTACATTATACACGGGCTGCAGAGGATATACAGTTCCTGCTGGTTACATATTAAAACTATACTTAGATAAACAATACACTTCATTTAAAATAACATTAAACAAACATTAGCATATTTAAACATTAATTCTTTTGCAACGGTAGAACCAAAATCTGTTTCACTCAATTATGTAAAACACCCGTACGTATGTATTTTAGTTAGAATGGATTTCTTCCCTGCATGCCAAGTAGAATTTTACAGCATTAACAATAACATACTTAAGTAAAGCAAAAACTCCTCTTCTTGGGATCTTCATTTGCTTTTAACACTGTGTGCCGTTAATATAGGATTGCAACTTCGGGCATCAATAGCTAAACACTGACACTAAACAAAGGAGAAGCAAGCTGCATTCAAATAATAGAACTACTTTTAGTTGCTTCAAAAGAATGATTCGCATGTCATTTAACAACACCCAAAAACAATGAGCAATGCACTAACTTGATAGGGAAAAGCAACAAGTAGAAAATAATTCAGGCGTTTGGACGACCTGCCGATGTTTGAATGGTCAGATGTTTTGGGGGGCTTTGATGTGAAAGAGTTAAACATACACATCATTAAATATAATATTAAACATACATAAATATATGTATCATTAAAAATACATAGTTCACTGCACACTAATGACACAAACATGCTAGCATACGAGTTGCTGCACATGGTCTGCATGTGCTAGTCTTATGCTCAATAACTAGTGACACAATCTTAGTACATGAAATAATGAGGCTCACTTGGCTCATTGCTGCAATGATGACCAAGACTTCACAAATTTTGTTGACAGCAGTTTGATTTTTTTACAAAAAAGTGTTGATGTGTTTCCACGATGCTTAACAGAACTATCAAGTACACTGATTCCATTAAATGGCAGTTGTAGCTCAGCCCACTGTTGCACATTCTTGAAGACAAATTTTTTTCTACAACAATGTTCCGGCACATGACCTTTTTCATCCAATATGTAAATAATTTGCTTTCGGCTAATCTTTGGAATATGGTAACAGGTTGTTTGGCGACATTTTGGTAAGGCGATAAAGGTTACTAGCAATAATCTTTAGCAATAATATGAGAAGTACACAGTTCGAATCACAGATTATTTTGTCTGAGAAAAATGAGAGATCATGAGACATGGCATGTGACATTTTCCAGAAAATTCCGATTGCAATTTTAGCTAATAAGCACTTAGAAACAATTTCGCAGAATCGCCCACTTATATGTTTGGCGCTTTTCACAAGAGTAAGAATTGGATTTTTGTCAGTTTTCTTTGACTTTTTAAGTGAAAATAGGTCGATGTGTACATGGATAAAGTCAAGAGTGTGTGCAATGCCATTTTTGTGCAATTCTGGGATGATATTTTAAATGAAAACTGGTCGACGTGCACATGGATACCGCATATGTGCAATTCTTAAAAACATGCGAAACAGTGGGCGATTCTGCACTTTCTCCTGATTTCGTACCTAATCTTCGTCATGATTAGGCCCTTTTGTTCCATAAAAGGTTCTAGCATAAGCGTTATTCGGCTAGCAGATTGTTGGAAAACATATTGAGTTAAAAAAAAAGAAATGCCTTTACTTCGCAAAAACATAATGGCGTCCAAAAAAAAAAAAAAAAAAAAAAAAAACTAGCAGGTTGCTGTAGCAGGGTTGGTCGCCAAAAAATCGCCAATTTACCATAATCTGAAGATTCACCTCGCTTTCTTATTGGCTAGCAATATCATCATTTGCACAGCATCATAATTATAACTAACTCAACTGAAATGGAAAAATCACCAAACAGCTAAATGCAAAAGACCTTGGAAAAGACAACACAGAAATAATATGAATAAGCATCAGTCTAGGAATGCACTGAGTAAACTCGCAATCATTTATAAGTTTTTTTACCATACTTTATTTTCCAAAGAGGGGAAAAACTGCAAATATTTTTCTCTTATTTTTTTTTTAAATGCAAGAAAAAACAGAACTTAAATCCTTTACAGAATTAAACTGACTTATCGAAAATTAATCGAGTTTGACATAAAACATAATCAACATTAAACCAAAGCAAAATTCTGAAGATTGTGTTGTGATATTCTGCTTATCCATTATCGCATTGATTATCAATAATGTATACATGTTACTTTGCTTATTCATTATTGTATTGATTATTGACATTGTATATATGCTAATAGTATAATGAGCTCTGTAATGGTGTTACAAATCTCTCATTTACTTATTTAACTGGGGGAAGAAGAGGAATTGTTTCTAAAATTGTAAAATAAATATTCTGGTTACTTGAGCTTTCTTGTTAGTTGAACAGCAAATCGTCAAGCTTTTACTGTATTCTGATATTATTCTTATTCATTATTGTCATTAAATCACATGGTTTGATGAAAGTATTCATTTGATCTGAGTTGTAGTCTCTAAACACTTTATGATGATATAAGATCAGCAACACAACAAACAGCGGTTAATCTTTGGATTATGGTAACTTGGCGATTTATTGGCGAAAATTTGGCGACCAACCCTGCTACAATGCTAGTTTTTGTTTGGACACCATTTTGTTTTCACGAAGAAAAGGCATGTTTTTACGCTTATGCTAGAACTTTTTTGGAACAAAAGTGCTTAATCATGACGAAGATTAGGTGCGAAATTGGGAGAAAGTGCAGAATCGCAAACTGCTTGCCGCGTTTTTAAGAATTGCACATACACAATATCCATATACACGTCGACCTATTTTCACTAAAAAAACATCCCAAACTTGCACAAAAATGGCATTGCATTGCACACACTCTTGACTTTATCCATGTATAAAGTCCTAGCTTGCCTTTATAGCCTTACCAAAATGTCGCCGAACTACCCTATTACCATATTCCAAAGATTAGCCCAAAGAGCTTGTACATACATCTATACGAAACATACGGTTGTTGTGTTAGTAATTTTATGTTTCACATCGGTATGCTTCCCTTCCATTTTCCACTTTATGATGTTTTATGTTCGAAACTAGAAATGATATCATTTGAAACCTTGACACCACTTTATACATTAATGAACAGAGAGGAAAGAAATAATTGTGAATCTCAAATGGAATTTCGTTTTCAGATTTTTAAAATAGGCCTTGGGATTCTAAGGGTTAATACATATGCCCCATATGCATCCTCAACAACCTTTTAACTTTGGCTTCATTAGTCGCAGTGCCACCACTGGCATTTCTATTGCCATTAGCGCCATCATTCCATAAGATGAACCCAGTTTTTACCACACAAAATATTTAAAGAAAAGGTGTGTCTTATATAGAAAGTCATTTAAATATCTTCCAAGAGTAATAATTTAAGCACTGCTCTAAAAGAACTAAAACATCAGGTCTGATTTCACAATACAAATCTTAACAGTGATTAATCATTATAGAAGTAATCTTAATTTCACAGCAATCATGTAAAATCTTAACAGCAATCAATCATAGAACTGATATAATAAATAATTTACAACTTTTCTTAATGAATATAAATTTCAGGTACTTTTCTTACTATTTCTGGTTACTAGATTTCCATTAAAAACTGAAAATTCCGACCAAATGCAAAGTAATTTATTAGATTTTATGAATCATAATGAAAAGGCTGTTAATTCAGCTTTTATTTAATAAAAAATATTTACCTTTCTACGAACTAAAAACAGTATTAGTTACATTTAACATTTGTTTTACTTAAAAATACAAACTTTCATAACCATATATAACTAGCACGAACATTTACTGCTAAATATACGCTGAATTTAAAATTAGTTTTGGGTTTTGGTTTGTATTTGTAATAAATTTTTAATATCAGAGTAATAGTAGCAGATATTAAAACAAAACGATCTTTGAAGCTTTATGATTTGATCTAATTTTAATACGTCAAAACAAATACTGGAATCTCACAATAAAACTCTACGAAGCAAGGAGATTCATTTCTCAAAATGAAGGTATTAACGTTAGCAAAGAAGAATCTTAACACCAGCAAAGGTTTTACCAAAAAAATTTTAAAGTTTTAAACAATCAACTACCTGCAAAAATTGAAAAGCCAATCCGTTACAACCAATACCAGAATACGAAACTCACACAACCACGATGTGGATATGATACTAATAGTAGAGATGTTTCACTCCTGAAGCAATATTTTCATCACGTTGAAAGTGGAACTACGTCTGTAATGACGCAATTTCGTTTAAATTGCATCACCACAACAATTGATGAATGGAATAGTGGTATTACATCATCCGCACCTAAGCCAAGGGCTTATCTAGGAAGAAAATTTATGAATAGGAAAAATTTTAAGCGATTACGATGGAGAAACTGAAAAATTTAAGTAAAAATTAAACCGGAGGATTGATCCTGCAGGCCCTTTGTATTTAAGTTCTGGCGAAAATTCTTCTTAGCATTTCTTTCAACATTCTAATCCAAGGAGAATAGAATAAAAGGAGGGAAGGTTCAACTCAAACGGTGGAGCTTCGCGGCCATGTTCCTGTTATCGCTGTGACTTGTGAGAGGAAGTCTGTAATTGCAATATATATATATATATATATATATATATATTATTTTTCTTTTGAAGCATGTCAGCTTGTGTTGTATATGGATGCACAAACAGATTTTCGAAAAAGATTCAAGGGATTACTTTTCACGCGTAAGTATTGATTTTCTTTTTTTTTTATGTAATTTGATAACTATGGTAAAAAATTTCACAATGTCATGTTATTTTTTTTCCAGATGTGAAGAAAAGTGCTTAATAATAGTAAAAATATGTTAAATACATTGTAATGTTTCTGTTTATAGCTGGCATCTTTGTTCCTTAACATACAATGATGTATGCAAGGATTTAAACTGTATAATTTGAACGTTTTAGGTAATTTGTTTGCTAATTTTCACCAATTGTTACTATTTTTATGAATTGTAAACGTGTTAAATAAAGTAATGCTTTTCTTTATGTATTAATTATCATTCATTTTTAAGTTTTTTTGAACTGGTAAGAATATAATTTGTGCATTTCATCAAGATAAACTAACTTTTCTGTTGTTAAAATTTTGTTTGCATAAATTTACAAATTTGTGGGCAGTATAGCGATAAAAGTAGGTAAGATATTTACACAACTGGGTTTAATCCTAGTATCCGGTGCACACGGGATTTGGCTACTTTTGGCGACTTTATGATGAGCAGTAAAAACACGACATATACGATGAGTAGTAACCAGGTCATTCAAAGAATTATATGGTTATACATAGTATATACTAGAGTAGTGTATATACTATGTATACATAGTATATACAACATATATATAGTGTATAGTATATATATAGACGTTTCTTGGATCACTTTTGGTGTTGGCGATAATTTTCAAAATCGCGCCAAGGCTGCACCGTATACTAGGATTTTACCCACAACTGAACATGTGGAAAGATGTATCCAAAAATATAGGTATAGGTATATTTCTGTAATTCAGCTTAATTTAAGGCAATTTCTTTGAGTTCATAAATTTGAAACGTGCATAAACTGAAATCACTGAATTCACATAAATCTGTTTTATTTTCTTGTTGATATAAGGTTGTTGGTTGTGAAAAGAATCTATTTAAAATTTTCATTTTAAAGAAATACAACCTGTGACTATTTTTAGATAATTATCTGCTATTAATTTCAGGTTAAATATATTTTAAATGATTCTTCAATAAATTACAATATTGTGAATAAATCAGAAATATCACTTCTTCAAGAAAAAACTGGAAAGTACACCCAACAGGCTGCTAATAAAACCTAAGCAAATTCTTGAAATATTCAGAAACATCATTTTTAAAGCCATTAATGTTATGCACATGCATTTAGATTTCAAACTATTTCTTAGTGATTTTATGTACGTAGTAAATTACGAATATCATCTTTATAACTTTAAAACAGAAAACTAACAAAAGCGAAGTATTTCATTATAAATTTTACATATTTTCAGTGGAAAATACATGCACGGAACAGCTTAAAAACACGTACGTTTCACTGCCGTAATGCAATGTTTTGAAGTTACAATATGGACGCCGCTTCTTCGGTGGAGTTTCATTCCCCGATAGTGGAGGAAACTGCGAACCCTCCCTCCTTCTATTCTAACCTCCTTGTTCTAATCATGCACTCCCACCATTCTCCATACCAGGCGGTTGTTGGAGTGTTAAAATACCATTTGATTTTCTTGATATCGAATAACGACATTATCTTCTCCAAATCTAAATTTCTTAGAGCATTGTTTGAACCAATGAAGTTTGTACTGTTGTCGGTGTAGATTATATTTAGATTCTGTTCCTAGGAAGAGGTGCTAAAGGTGGTTCTGTAGGTTTAGCTTTGAATCTTTTACATGAAATACAACTAGAGCTAACTTCTTTCGCTAATTAATTGATCGTATGGTCAGCATTTATGGATGCCATTTTTGGTGGCGTGTGTTGTTGCTCCAGATAAAACTAGGATAGCTTGGCGCGGTGATATTAACATTTTTATTTAATGCTAGAAAATATATATATTTTAAAGTACGTTCTCTGATAACAAAATAGCATCGGATGCAGGTCACACAACACAAGCATTTTTACAGGTAGTAAGTCCACGTTAGCAAAAAGGCATGAAAGTCGTAATGCAGCTATGCAGACATCACGAGGCGGAAAAGAGGTGAGTTCGTGCTTCACCAACGACAGCCAAGAACAGAGGGAAGGACCGGTGAAATTTCTTCTCTATTGCACAAGAGGAAGAAAGCTGGCACCGCCCCCTCTTGGGTCAGGGTGCAAATAATAATAAAGAATAATAATAATAAAGAGTTCTCCACAATCGAAATAATCCAGTAATCTTTTAAACTGGCAATCAGAATTTGAAGTCCTGAGTGTTGTAGTTTGCACTTGAAATGATATGGGGCACTTCATCTCCCAAGAGAAGCTTTGTTCTAAGTTGAACAATATCCTTTTCATGTCTGAATATTTGCATGTTCTTCAAGACTTTTAATTTTTCTTCCGGCAGAATTTTCCTGCTGAATTAATTTCAACAAAACGTTTTCAGCTGACTGAATCTTTTCATAAGTCAGCTCAGTTTTCTTAATTTTTCTTTTCGTTGGCAGTTTTTGATGAAACGAAGTATCCAGGCAAGCATTCTAATAATATTCGTATATTTCGAGAAATAAAATAAATTGTCAGTGAAGTTAACTGATCCATGCTCCACATTACTGACTATTATTTTTCTCTCTTCCGATCCAAACAAATTTTTATCAATGACTTGTTTTTCACTTGATGGCGGGAATTCTTGTGACTTCCATAACCATTCTGGAACTTCCCACTATTTGCTTTTCAATAAATTCTTAGCATTACAACCTCTTGAAGGCAAATCTGCTGGGTTCATATGCCCTGGCTCAAAATGCCAGTCATTCGGGTTGGTATTCTGTCTTATTTCTGTGACTCTCTTTCCTACAAACGTATTCCAAGAACTCTCTCTTTTGATCCCAGTTAAAGCAACAGTTGTCTAAATAATAAATACACTGTATTGTCTTTCAATTCAAGTCCACCTACTACTTAACCATATAATCTTGATAAGATTAAGGATCCTGAGAATTATAATCTAGGAATTGTAATCTCTTTGATAGGTGCCACTCTTGACTTACTTGTTACTAACTTGACCGAAATCTTCTCATTAAATTCAAAACGTAAGAAAATATAAGCAGCATAGGAAACTTCACTGGCATCATAGAAATAGTGTAGATTTATTCGGCAGTCTTCAAATGGACCCGAGACGAGTCTCCGTGGAATCTTACACTCTTTTTTAGTAAAGATAGTTCCTTGACACAGGCTAAAAATCTATTTGATATATCTATTCGTCCCAATTAATTTTCCTCTTTAAAATGTTTTGAAGCAATACTTTAGGTATCAATGAAACGGAACATGTTATCCCAATAAGGTCAAATAATATTTGGCCAGACGATAACACAACTCTTTTAGTAATCCCCTTTTCTGGAATTTCAACCATACTGCCGCAAAAAAGTTAAGCAGTTTCAATGTCCCAAAAGAGACCTAGAATTGAAATGAATCTGTCATGTGTCTCTTCTATTATTTTTTGAGAAGTAACCCATCATCGTAGTTCGAATTGTGCTGAAAACATCAGCTCCTTAGTTTGAGAAATAAATTTTTCTGCCTTTTCATTAGTTTCTAAACACGTAATACAATTGCCCACATAAAACGATTCTTTGAATCGACAAGCTGTTTGCTTCCTTTCATCCGGAGAGATCTCTAGATGGTAAGCTATAATTGCTTCTAGTAAAAATGAACTAGGAGAAGCACCAAATACCACTCCATAATGTCAGAGAGTGATTATTTCTTCTCGTCTTGATAACTCCTTCCGCAACAGAAATTTAAAACATTTCCTATCCTCTGTATTCACAATGATTTGTAAAAATGCCTTTTTGATGTCTGATGTTACGCCAACTGAGTTTTTCTGAAATTCCATTACCAACCCAAGTAGCACAGCAGACGTTGGAAACTCGACGCAGATGTCGTTGAAAAAACGTTGCAATATGTCGTCTCCGCGAACATCCCCTGTTTTGCAACCGTTGCAAAGACGCCTTTATTACGTATTTGCAGATAAGGTTTTTGTCGCATAGACGTCGTCATTGTGTCTTTCGCAGGTGATATTTTGGTTGTGAAAGCATCGTATCACGACGTCTTAAAGACCCCTAAATGTTCGCCGAATCCCACCTTTTAGCAATAGTTGTAAAATGTCGTTATTATGTCCTTGTGTTACATATTGATTTAAGCAGAAAAATAAGCTTAATAGTTAGTATAATTTTCTTCTATTTTAAAATTTTGTATTCCTTGTATTTATCTAAAGTTTAAATATTTTATCATTTCCTGAAAACCAAAAGATAACACAAATTTTTCTCTTTAGACTAAATATGCATAGTTAATAATAGCCTTAATTATTTTCAGTACTTTAAACTATATTTTTTAAATAACTTAAATTCTAAGTTACGATTATTTAGGATTTCATAATTTTTTCCCTTTAAGTGAGAGTAGTAATGAAAGTGGTTATTATAAATATATAACATTAATAGTAGGTTCTAAGTAAATAAAACTCAGACATAAATAAAATAAAGATACATA